CCATTTCGTAGTTTAATAGGAAGCTCGAACAAAAAAACCACGCCGTTAGTAAAGCAGAGCAAAGTGGTCGACAAGTTCACAATAATTTAATAGTGCGTTGCGTTGTTACTCAGTTTCCGCGGAGTGGCTACACTTCAGTTCTACAAATATGACTGCCACTAAAATTTAAATAATTACCTGATATTTATTTCTTCACTCATGTTTTTCCAATTAAAATATTGATTCCATACTCCTATGACGTACATAAACTGTTAAGGAGTGTCAGTGATATGTCACGTAAGGCAGGGACATCGCTATACAGTCATAATAACCATACTTGGTATATACGACTATTAATCACTGGCATGAGTATTATGACATACATAATGCATTTAATGTAAATAAACATTGCTGGTGGTGGTGGTGGATCCTATTAGATCTGTCCCCTTACTTGATCTATTGGGGTTCCAACTTATAGTTTTGTGAAATATAATATTTTGTGATGAGTTTTCATTTTACTTCTGTCTGTCCATGAATGCACTTAAGGAAGTTAACCCAATCAGGGATTGAAATAGAATTTTTTCCCTGCACTAACTTATTGTTTTAAAGTTTTAATAAAATTTACGGGTTCTCGATTGATGTGATCACGCAAGAATTTGCTTTTTTTTAGTTGTCTTACAATATTGGTTGAATTAATTTAGGCTGAGTGAATATAATGAGAAAATGTGTTAATTTCTACATGCACAGTGTGCATGATCACAATATGGAAAATCGGAATCAAATACTAAAAAAAGTAAAACTCAGACTATCTGAGATTTATATTCAAAGATGGAGAGAAGAACTAAATTTCAGTGAAACCAATGAAAATAGGGGAACAAAACTGAGAACATACAAACTATTCAAAGTAAGCTATAATATGGAAAATTATTTGCAAAACATTTCAAATTTCAGCCTCAGGAAAATGCTTTCAAAATTCCGTCTGAGTGACCACAACTTAGAAATAGAATTAGGTAGAAGAACAAAGCCCAAAATAGAATTAGAAAATAGACACTGTAATAAATGTAACACTAAAGCATTAGGAGATGAAAAACATTTCCTGATATTTTGTACTGGCTCTATAGAACAAAGAAAAAAACTGTTTGATGAGTGTGCAATAAATATTTACACAATGGATGTGAATTCCATATTTAAAAAGATTATGGAGAATAACATAGCTTTAGCAAAATACTTAAAGAGCACAATTTTTAAAACCACAGAAAGTAATTAATTTATTTTTTTCTTTTATTTTACTAACATTTTATTTTTATCTCTTATGTATTGTATGTATTTATGTTCCTTACCATACAAAAACCCTCTGAAGGTTTTTAGTAGTGTAATAAAGTTATTATTATTATTATTATTATATTTTGAGTTTACTTGCACTAGGTAATAATCTATGTGCCTAGTGCAGTATGCACAAGGGTATTTCGACCCCTGCCAATGCAACTTTCACAAAATATTGTTCTCATGAACAACATTAATTTCAGAAAAAGAGAAAATTTCTGTCAGTTAAAACTCAAACTTTTGTGCTTGATCAATTATAAACTAAATAGCATTAGGTCATCACCTCTTAGATGATGAAATCATTGATGTGAACAAACTAATAAGTAAACAAATCACATTTCTATAAATTTCTGCATTTTTTACAAATATTTGATTTTTCATTTCGATTAATATTGTTTTAACAAAGACACAACAAATAATAAAGTCATACTCTTTTGAATACAATACAATACAATTGCATGGCCATCTGAATAAATTCTTATGAATAACATTCTATGAATGGGATTTATGTTATTTTTGAGTAGATATAATAGGGATAATGACAATGCCTTAATTAAAATTAGGAGTTATCGCTTGTATTACTTTTTTTTGGCACTCTACACTTGATAACCAAAAGATACAGATGTTTCAACAATTTTGAATGAAGTAAAAATAATAAAGTTTACTGCATAATGGAGAATAGAAAAATTATATTTATTGTTCTATTAAAGCGCTACTGTTGTCTCACAGGTCATGTTTGAATTACGGGTAAACAAAAAATGTATCTGACATACCGGTACATTGTATACATTGCTACATGTATGAGTCCCATATCAAACACAACGTGGGGTAATGACTTTAGAACTTTAATTAAGTGCTAAAGAGATATGGTTTTAATCCTTAGAGCTTGCGTAATTACATTGGAACAGCAATGGTCGCCTGGCCTGACAGACTTTTGAATTTTCATTGCACAGTGTACGCCCCAGGGCATTTCTAGTATAGTGGCACTTTTCTTGGATATTTTGGAAACTGGAGAATATATTAATAAGTTGTATGAATAACTTAACATCTCTTTCATATGGGAATTGGCCACAAAATTTAAGGTTTATACTGGGGAGCACGATGTTTATATATTTTGTAGTGTGTTTTAATTGTTCGTAATGTCATCAAAAATGACCTTGTCGTCTGTCAGCTCTGTGTCAACTTTTTACTTTTTCAACTTCTTCTTGAAAACTACAAATTCACTACGTTCAATTACCCACCATAGACTCCGGTCAGTCAAAATGACTATTTTGAACTGTAGGCATTAATCAGCGATTCTGCCGGTGACGGAGAGATAGAATCCAGGTCAGGGGAAGCCCCATGACCTCAAGATTCTTTTACCCCTTACGTCACGAACCCACGTGACCGAGGCCACCTGGCAGCGCCACAGGTAGCCGTCCTTCACTCTTAATTTCTCTCCGCCTCGAGTGGAGATGAAATCTAGCAAGCTCTGCTGGATC